GAGAATGGCAAACAAAGCCAAAAGGACCAAGATCAAAGTCAATGCCCCTGAACTGTCCTCACCTTCTCGCCAAGTTTCCCACGGAGAGTTTCTCCCCCACCTCTAAAGTTTGTCCTTTTCCTGCTGCTGCTGCCTCCGCCGCCTGTCGCACCTTGAGCTTGGTTCAACTCTTTCGCCTGCACTTTACCATCCCCAGTTGTTGAAATATTCATAATTGAAGTTTATTGTTTACCCTCGGATGTGTGCCACGCCCACGTTCTGAAACACTGCCCTCTTTTCCCCTTTTTTGGTAGCTGGGGTGCCGTTTTGATTGTTTTGTGGCCCGGAGACCGTCGATAAGTTGGCCTGCAGAAAAGTTCACAAAACTTTTCAGTCTTTTTGTTTTAGTTCCTTTTCCAGAGCGCTCTGGAAACTTTGATTGGCGAACAAAATGGCACAAGTGATTGGACATGTGCTTCATTTATTATACTATATATGCCTGACCTACTACTAGCCTGTCCCTTTCCTTTATTGGTTGAGAGGTATCAGCTGTTGAGCTATAGCTTCTTGCATTTAAATTATATTGGCATAGTTTCATCTTAAAAATTGTAATAACAGGATGTCACAAAATTGAAAAGTTTGGGTAGCAATATATGAAGCTGAAACTTAGAGAAAGTTCTTAAAGAAGTTGGGAAAATCATTTAGGAAATGCAAAAAGTTGACTTTCATTTAAGTGTCAGCAACAGAAAATTCATCCTAAAATTACTTTTAAGAAGCAAAGTTATAGCACAAAGCAAAAATATAAGTGGTTATTTATTTATTATATTTTAGTTTATATTATATTTATCGAATAACTTAAGTTTAAGTTACTTTATTTTAACTAAAACGTCGTCGCTTCGTCCGTGTTTCACATTGGCTCGTCCTATTGCCGTCACTTCTTAAATCGAAGTCTGCATCTTATTAGCTCCTCACTGAGCACGTCTTATCGTCGTCGCGTCTTCTTACCAACTCTGGGATCCTCATATCGCTCTCTCGTCGTTAGCATCGTTCATCTCGTCATCGTCTTCTTAGTCCTCGTCTTGATCATCTCCTTTGCCAGATGGTCAATCGTTACCTCATGGTTTCAGCTTCGTTGTCTAGGGTCTTCATCTGTTCTTCTAAACCATTCCCACGTATATATAGAGTCCTTTTAAACTGCTCGGCGTATTAAGTTATAAACGCTTTGAAGAAATTGGATCTGCATTCATTGAATATAAATTGTCTTCGTGGAAAACCGCAGTACTTTCTGAAATCGAAACTATTATCATTCGAAGCTTATACAAAGTGCACTTGCAATTATTTCTCAATGGCAACCACACAGTTCTTGTCAGTTTTTTTGTATGTCCAAAGGTCACGCGTTTCCCATTTCCGTTTCCCGAGTGTTCTTGACCGATTTTTGATAAATTGCTTTTGCCTTTGAGCATTGAAATGGAAGTGGTAGCAAGAGTGGGGGAGTGAGAAAGCTAGGGTGAAAGGCTGCTCAAGAACCCATCACTTTTTCATACCCAACTCGAAGCCTTAACGGGCCGCTCGTCCCTCGTTTATGGGGCCCACTTGAACGGGCTATTAAATATAATTGCGAGCAATTTGTACAATCTACTTAGGATATCATTTTTAATGCGACAACCCAGCCCAAAAGAGAAAAAGCAACCAATTCCCTCATTGCAATGCTAATTGCAAAAAGAGAGCAAGGAAAAAATCCAGGACAACGAAGGTAAACATGAAAAGGACAATAAGCACGAAACAATGGACTGTTTGCAATTTAAATTAACATTTTGAGTGAATCAAATAACAGCGCAAAAAAAGAAAGTATAGTCCGGTGACGGAAAAACTGCTGAGCGGAGCAGCTAAATTGTTTTTGATGCCACCGGTTGGGACTGCAGATGGCCAACAGATCCCATTGCAGGCCAAATACCGGCAGGGAAAACACAAGACTAGGCACACCGTTGCCCTAAAACCAAGCCAGATTTTCATAACACGTTCCACATTGCGGTTCCACTGGCCAAAAAAAAAAAGAAAAATAGAAGCCGAGTCCGAGATTCTAACACCCAACGCCAACGTCGACCAGCTGCGGCTGGTTTCATATAATTCAGCCTCCGCGTCACCAAAAATCCTCTCCCCATCCACATCTGTCCGCTGTGAAATATAAAATTCTAGCAATATCATAAAGCAGGGAGTTTAAATTGGTTTGACCTCGACAATTGCATACCCTAAAAAAAAAAATGTTAGACCTTCTTGGAACTAAGAATTATGAACTTGTTAGGGTTATTTTTGAACACATTAAAATTTAAAGGAAAAGAACAGACATTTGCAATTTTAATAAAAATATTACTAGCAAAAATAACAAATATTAACTAAAGTGATGACCTTTTGAACTTTTAAATAAGGTGGAATTTCTTTGCTTACCCAAAAAGTTGGTCCTTTACTTTATTTTATTAAAAAATTTCATATTATGCAGCTTACAATGTCTTGACCACATGCACTTTCCCTTTACCGCGACAACGGAAAAGTGGCGGGAAACCGATTTACATTTCACTTTCCCGGGATTCTCTGGTCTATCTTCTCCCCTTTTTCCTGAGCTGACAACCTGGTCAAAGGACTCCGGGCTGTCCAAAACCCAAAGCCAAGGAACAAGGAACAAGGAGCGGCAAACAAAGGCAACAACAGCAAGGCAAACAAAAGTGGCTAAAAAGCAAAAGCTGCAAAAAGGCCAAAGGCGAGGCACGAACTCTCTCACGAACACACACATACAAACAAAAACTGGCACTCATAGATACATATATGCATGAAATTTCACACCCAGGGGCGTAGGTGAAGGGGTACGGGCTTTAAGGGGGTGTATGATGGGTGGCTGTTTTGGGCTGTTTTCGGGGTGCACAAGACAGCCAGAGGAGCCGAAATGCAAATACACAAACAATGGCGGTGCGGGGGCTACTAAGCCAAGCTAAGAAGGTTTTGGTAAACAAATTTTACTGCCAGTTCGCACACAAACAAGCCGCACACACAAATAGGAAAATATACTTAGGGAAATCTAGTGAGAACGGCACTATAATATAAAATATATCTTAAATTCAAATAGTACTTAAAGCCTAAATGAACATATTAATAGGGAATTAGTTATCTATTTTTCTAGATGTAAGCTGGCCATTTTTTATATTATTTTAAATACCTATTCGAAAAGAGGGAATAAATAGTAACTAAATTTTATGTTATGATTAAGTTTAGATAAAATATGTTGATGTTCTTTCAAAGAATTATAATGTTGAAAACTAAAGAAGGAAGTATAAATTTCTAACGCCACTGAAGTATTCCTGACGACATAAAATATGTGACCCTTATATCAAACATAAGGGGTATAATCTCTAGACTTACTTTCATATATTTCCTTTTCTCTCAGTGTACATTTTCTGTTGCTGCTGTTGGCCCAGGACATTCATAGTTAAAATTTAGAGAGACAGCGCCGAGAGATTTGGCAAACAGCAACAATATTCCCTACCGCTGATGTTGCCAGCCGAAAGCCCCTATACCCCTGCACACCCTTCTCTCCTTCTCCTGTTGCGTTAATCAAGGTTCACACAATCGCCAACAACAACAACGACAACAACAACAACTACTACTACAAGAGCAACAATAACCACAACAACAATGTGGGGCGTGCACGTGCCAAAATTGCCAGAGAATATTTTGCATTTGTTTTTTTTTTATTTGTTTTAGCGACATTTCCTAGCCGAGTTTTTGTTTCGGGCCATTTGTTGCTTTTGGCCATCTGGGTGTTGATTAAAAAATTGTCAGGTTCTGAAAATTCATGGCCCTACCATATCCTTCTTAATACAGTCTGGTTGAGGAGTGAAATGCCAAGGTCATTTTTGATATAATATAAAAAGGATTTTAAGGTCAGCGATTGTATAAGTTAAGATAAAAATCAAATGTTTTATCATTGAAGTGATTTTAAAGAATTTCCATGAGAATAAGTTACCAATCACTAAGTTTTCATTCGCCTTACAACCTTGTGACACACTGTATTTGTGTCATAAACTGCGGCAAACATTCACCCGCAATTCCCTTGAGAAAGTCTTTTCGGTTTCTGACTATTAAAATCGATTGGATTCTGGTTTGCTACTTGCCATACGAGTATATTTATTTTTTGGCCCAAAACCGAAGTGTTGCTATATTTTCCAGGCTGGTTTTTAGGTTTGTTGAATGCCCATTTGGGTTAATAACAAATAACCGAATGGACCATTATACGAAATGAGTCTGAGCCATGGCCGAAAAAGTGTTGAGAGCTAATGGCAATGTCCCTGACAATGGCAGTTACCCAAAAAGTGGGGGCCAGGACCAGGATCCTAACGGGAGTAGATTATGTTCATGGCCTTCCCCTTTTCGCATTACCCGAAATTACTCTCATGCATTACGTAATAAATTTATATGAGCTAATTGCCAGCAAAAGTTCATTAATTTGGGAGTCATGAACTTAATTTATTGAGGTCATTAAATATTGTTAGTTCCTGTTTCTGTTTTGTTAGGTTTAAGAGCCAAAAGTATCATAAATATGAAGAGGTAGCCAAGCTTAATAATAAAAAGTAATTTCATTACTTATTTTATATTGGCTATTGATTTATTAGGTAGTTTACTTTAACGATATAGTTAGGGTAGTAGTTCTTTTAAAGGGTTAGATAAAGTTAAGCTTTTCTTTGAGTTAATTCATATATTTGTTATATTTTTACATCAGGAATAGAAACTAAAAAGAAGATTTACTAAATTTCCCCCTCTCCACTTAAAAGGTGGTTCAAATTGCGACCACAAATTGAATATTTCCACTCACTATGATATTCATTGTACGCATATGCAAAGTAAGCTAAACAAATATGGCCAAATCAATCGAGCGTTATCGACGGACTTTGGGGAATTATGTATTTGCACTTTGCCGCAGCCATGACGACCGCTAATCTAATTTTCATATTTGTTCGCTTTGCTATTTTCAGATTTTTTGACCCTAATATCGGCCTTGTGAAATCATCAAACCATCGACCAGCAGCTACAAAAATTGGAAATCCAAAAGGCAACAACAAACTAGTAGAGTCTGCAATCGGCGGCATAAATATCAGCGAATATGGACATAATAGAACGCTTTGTACAAAGTTTATAACCAAATCCGCACATTGCCAGAATCGATTAACTAGGTATCAAATTTGATAGCCCAAGCCATAACACCAACAGCCAACAACTGAACACCAACAAAAATGCATAAATAAATAATTTGAATGGCACGCAACGGATTTTAAAAATATCACAAATTGTTGTATCAATAAATTATTAATAACAATTTCTGCGGACAAGCTCTAAAAACCAGAATAGAAAAAAAAAACCAAAAAATTTGACATCAAAAACAAGTTGAACTCCAACCGAAAAAAAAAACACGAAATTCCGAGGAAAAGTGGAATTTATTCATACACAGAAAATATTGCAAAACATTTTTCCAGTTTAGTATGCATATGTCGAGGCCATGATGGCAATAATGATAGCACCCCCGTTAGTCCAACCCTCCCCTACATATCCAACCGAAATACCAAAAAAAAACAAACCCACTAGAAAGTCCGCTGTAAATATTCCAGAGATTATTTTTATTGTCCTTTTCAACTTTACGTAGCATAAATTTACAATTTCTAGCTTGTAAATCATTTATATACATACGTACATACTTAAATAGAGGTAAGGCTAGGGCTATGGGGGCGTGGCTGATTGCTTTTCTTATAAGAGTAGATAAAACACAAACACTCACACTCTCACACACACACACAGCCTCGAGAATTCCGGGGACATTTTTCAAATTGTATAGGAAATGAGAGTTGCAATATTGCATAGATTCTTGAGATTAGTTGGGCGTATATACGATAACATATATACCTATTTATAGATACTACAAATTCTATGCCTATGAATATAATTAATATATATATATATATATATATATATTTACAATTGACGACCAAGCAAAAGTAAAACTTTAACTTTAGTAACAAGTCAAACACACAAATCGAACAATTGAATGAAAAACACACACAAAATACTGAACTAAAGTAGATCGAAGGAAGAACATAAGACATTGGTAAGATGTTGGAAAGTGGTGAGAAGGACTACAGTGAGGACTCTGAATAAGAGCCAATCATACTTTTCACCTCTTGCTGCATAGGAAATATATAAACATAAAACAAAAGCTTGTTAGTGATACTAATTTTAAACGGACAAAAGAACAAAGCAAATGATTAATGAACCAATAAAAAGCAAACCACGTTTGATAAATCTTAGCGAATCTTTAAAATGTTTACATTGTTACTATATTTCTGTTGAACGAATTAGTTTATTGTTAAACTGAATCCGATTTCATCTGTATATACAGTCCTTGATTACATCAATAAAAGGCTTTAGCTATCTTGGAATCAAGGATGTAGAGTAAGATATCAATACATGCAGTGCGTTTCAAAAATATAATATTTTAATAATATTTTTATGTATTCTTTTTATGTACCAAAATTCTTATTTATTATTTATGGAAAAAAGAATATCATTGAATTTGTTTATTTTCTTTAAAAATTTATCAATATTAAGAAACACCCCAAAGGGTCAAAGTAAAAATTTTGGTTTGAATTTTATTTTTTAATTTCGTCTTGTTGTCATGAAACGCACTGTCCATACGTATACCAATTAACACAAAGACATAGAGACATTATAACTCATGCACTTTTGCTTATGGAAACGACTATATTTTGCCGATGAGATGGGAAAAAGTTCCATGCAAATCTAATAAACAAAAATATTCAGATACACTATCTATCTATCTATATACATACGAAACACACACTCTCACACCGAAAGTCACCACATACACGTATATAAGTACACGCACATCAATGCAAAATGGCATAATATCGGAAACAATTTACCAATTAACATTAAAAATTAAAGGCATAAAAAGCAAAACTGTCTGAGCAAAAACCAACTAAGCGCTAAAGCAAACGACTAAGGCAAAAAACAAACACTCACACACAGACGACACACACTCAATGTAAGAACATATAACAATGAAGCAGAAACCGAAACAGAATCGAATTGAAAGGCAACGCAGATTAAAATTGATATGAATATGCAAATTTTGGCGAAAAAAACATAGGCTACATTAGACACAAGAGTATGTAAATTGACGAAACGTTCAATAAACGAAAAACCGAAAAATATAACAAAAGTATTAATACACGTACAAAGATCCATTTGAGTGTGCAATTTCATTTGTTTTGAGGGTAGGGTATAGGGTAGGCCCCTATATGTATACGATATGATTGGGATGCTGTGTTCAATCAATTGTTAAACCGGAAATGGAAACAACACACCACCAAATTGTGGAGGCGTCAAGTGCATTGAGTGCACTTTCCACAGCTCCCAAAGGCCCCTATGGAAAAACTACATACTATCTCGTTGGTGTGCGGACTAAATTACTCGAAAAATATATATTTAGTTGCTGGCATGTTTTATGGATGCGTTGTAATTGAATTGAAGTATCAAAGGGTGAGAGTTTGCAATGTAATGGACTGAAAGCGAATGAATAGCATTTCCCAGTCCCATAGAACGAACGATGATGGCTCTCCGTTGAGATCTTTTCGGGATAATAAATTTGAACAGTATGAATGGCCATGGACTAAGGTAAATAAAGGTGTGGAAATTTAAAGGTTTGTATTTTTCAGTAGTTTACTGACTTCAAACTTATTACTCAATAAATAAATAATTACTTAGTGAAAACATTTTGCTTTTCAAACAAAAATTCATTTAAAATTCAACACACAATTGTCTTTCACTCATTTATTTTGCAATGATTAGCCTAAACTGCTGAACCCCGAAGCTCCGAAGCCATTGACAATTATCATTTGCAGGTAATTAAATTTCCTCTTTTAGGGTCGTTAAGCAATTACGCAATTAAATAGCCATATTTTCATAAATCATTATATAACAGTGCATACATTAATTATTAGCTTGTGGTGTTATTTATATATATTATATAAATGTTTTTATAATTACCCCTGCATATGTGCAATTTATTGAATTAATTCATTGAATAATGAAGTTAGCCATATGCAAGAATTATTTTATCACCAAGTATTTATTGCTTTAAAATGTGGATTTTGTAGATTTTTGTATCCAAAAAGACATTTCCATTTAGCATCTTCTACCAACAAAAACAGCTGTTGAAAGATAATTAAAATTTGTGGCCGCACAGCCTGGCAAATATATACAAAATCCACATAAAAAAAAGAATCTTCGAGGTGAACCCGCTGCAAGATTAATTGAATCACATTAGTCTGCCTTTTCATATACAGAAAAAAATATGCTAACCGAATGCGTAAACCGCAGAAAAATTGTGAGGGGGAAAGTTGCCTGAAAAGAACGAAATAAAAACACAAATTAAAAAATGGAAAACGCGTGTAAATAGCGAACAGAATTTTGCGACCCTCTACCTTGCGCTTACTTGGGTTCTTTTATTGCGGCTTGTGCAAATTTGCACCTAACCTTTAAAGAGCGACGACGACAGGTGGAAAAGCTTGGAAAAATCCTAAAGGTGGAACAAATGAGGTTCGCCATCTCGTTCTAGCGCTCATTTCGTATGCCGAGCAACAAGCATTTATGTAAATTGAAAATATGCCGGTGACGTTTCAAGGGGCGCAAAATAGTAGGAGGTGCTGTTGAGCGGGGGTTGGTGGTCATTTAAATTCAATTGTCAACGACATCTTCTTTGCCGGCTGTGGAAATCTGCGCTCAAATGTGAGCGAAACCACTCACAAGCCCCTATAATAAACAGGGATCTATCGATAGATGTGACTTAAGTATTTACAAATTTTCAAGAAAATAATTTTAAATATTGAGTTATTAATTAAGGATTTCTCAACTTTCGATGTTAAATTATATTTATAGTAGAACTTCCAATAAGACGAGCAACCATCTTAACTTAGTTTTACTCAAAATATCTTTCAGTTAGGAAAATTCTACTCTCCTTCAACTGTAAGTAAGATTAAATCCAATATTAATATAATATAAAAACCCCAATAAAGACACAATTATCGAGTACTCACTGTACTTACACGTATGTACATTTATGCTGCTGCCAGCGGGTGACCACGCAAAGAGAATTTATATTTATTACTACGGATCCCCCGTTCAGTTCGCGTTCAACAATTGTGCTGTGCAGACAACGCCACAGATTCAACCATCGATAGCCAGAAAGACCAAGTGCAAGGGAAGAATATCATTTCATATATATACAAATATATATAAAGAAGCATTCCAGGATGGAGCGTCTGCTGACCATGTTCGAGCAGGCGGATCCCTTCTCCACGTGGTGGCCAACGATTGCGGCCCTCACGGTGGGCATTGTGATTACGGTGCGGTGAGTGCGATGATTAAACTGAAACTGTGTTTTTTTACCCTGCCACATCTGCTTCCGCCCCCTTGTTCCCCTCGGCAACCCATTTATTTGGGGGCATAAAAACTTTCGCCTCGGACACACGTAAATAAATGTCGCAGCAGCCCAGTGAAAACTCCCCCCACTGTCACCGTTCGCGAAAAACTTTTTAAGTGGATTTCATGCAGAGATGGTGGCCAGATGAGAGGGAAGTGCCAGTCGCAGTGGCAGGAAGAGAGAGAGTTGCAGAGAAGACCCGGATAATATGTAATATCTAAAGATTATTCCCATTTTTGTTTTTACACCCCAGTGAAGTTAACAGGGCAGAGTTTATTTAAGGTTTATTTACTCTGGGAAACAAATTAGTGCTTAAAAACGGAAAAGAAAAGGAAGAATTGGCATTTTGTTGTATTGATTTTTTTTTACAAAATATTTATGACCCGACCTGTCAAAAAACCGAAAATTTGCCAAAAAATTAAATTTTAGAATTTGGTAAAAAAAGATTTTAGGTTGGAAGTCAATTTCAATTCAAATATCGGTTAAAAGCTTTTTATAATGGTTCGCTTTTAAGAAACATTACGGTACTCAAAATAAGACTACTACCATCCATCAGTTATATATATGTAGTAACTTAATTCCCAGTTAGCTTAGCCCAGTAGCTTAATAAACCTTTAATAGGCTTTATTTTTCGAGTGAGCCATCCTATGAGAAGCCCACTGAAAACACATTCGATTTTGTAGAAGGTATCTGGCAGTCTGGGTAATAAATAGCCATCTTACTTTCTGGTTTTTGTTATTCTTGTGCTCTGCGAGCTTCGCGGTTTTTGTGACCCCTTGCTATCTGTCGTTTGGCAGTTGCAGGTGTTAGTATAAGCCGGGAAAGCGGAAGCGGAAATGGTGGAGACTGCAATATGGCACTTTGGCTGACTTCCTCAACTCCACCTTTCATTTCCCTCTCTGCGGCGGCTCAAAATATTTACAAAGTGGATTTGCGCAAGTTTGGCTCAAAGTAAATGAAATGCCAAATGAATTCCAAAATGAAGGATGGGAAAGGAAAACTTAGACTTAAGTGCCAAAATAAGTCCCCGCCAAATGAAGTGGAGCAAATGGTACGTGATGAAGATTATAGAGGAAATAACTGACTGCAAAAGCAAAAGTTTAAGTGGCTTTGATTGTGGATAAGTTTTATCCATTAAATATAAGGGAAGTGAAGAGATTTGCAAAATGCATATTCCCAATAAACATATTATTAGCCAATTACAATGCCATTTTCATACGTTCTTCAATTCTTGAATTGATTAGTAAATATAGATTTATTTTGCAACTGAATTATCATACAAAGACATAGCATAGATCGGCAGCTAATAAAATAAATCAATTAGTGTTTGGCAAAAGGGTTGTCTAATTACTAATTTGTTGGTTGGTAATTTTCGCATGTGATGACATCTATGGACTGCATTTAAAGTTCACAAAACTGTAACAGAAATTTCTACACAACAGCACTAACGAACATAAAATGTAATTAAACGAATTGGAAATGAATTAGTGCCCAGCCATGCGATTTAATTGACTTCAATGCCAATTGTCCCTTTAGTTATGTATTTATTTGGGATTTGGGCTAAAATGTTCTGTGGGCATTGGAAATCAAGAAATAAATACTAATTAGTCAATATAATGACTTTGCCGAGTTTAAAATCCATTGCATTTAAAGCGTTAGTTAATGTCTATGCTAAACTAATGCTAAATTTGTTTCCTGGGGCTTGAAATTAAATAAATTAACATTTATTGTTTATGCAAACGCATCGAAATTATTGAAGTTGAAGATGAGCGGCCGGAGTTAGTCAAATCCCTAAATTACCTCAGGCAGATCCATGCAAATGACCATGCTGATTCCATTAACGCCTACCAATAGGTCAAAGCGCCGACAAGATTTCTCTACCATTCCACTAACAATAAAAGTTAGAAAATATACAGATTGTTCTTAAATATAAATACAAACTTTTAGCAATAAAGATAATGTTTTTCTAATGGTCTTATGCCGAGAGCTGGACCGGAAAAGGCACATCTGGTGTCTTATCACCCTCCTAATATAATATTCCCTGATTTTGGAACATGTTAAAGTAGGCCAAAAATAAACAGCAAATCTAAATTTTAAATTGGTTTTCAATCAAGTCAGCCTTGATTTTATTAATTTCATAAGTACTGATGCGTCTCCGGAAAAAGTTAGTTTAGTCCTGAAGCCCTCGGGGCTTGGACTAGTTTCAGTCTCCGAAACGACAAATATTAAAATCGGAATCGATCGATCAAGTCATCCGTGTGTTTATTTATGTCATAAGGTTTGATTTGCCTGCGGAAAAAGTTAGCTCACTTCTGAAGCCTACGGGGTAGCTGCTAGGCTTAGTCTCTAAAAATCTAAAAAATTTTAAAAATGTTTTAAAAAGAACAAAGTTTAGAAGTGGAAGAGTACTATTGAATGACTGATGACAGTATTTCAATTTATGGAGTTCCGTGGCAAGAACTCCCTGACTCCGTCGTAGGTACATCTTATTCACCCACTTGCACATCGTTGTGATGGCCTTCTCTAAGTCCTTGGAAAGCCAGGATTCTTGATGAATGCAAGATTCCGGTCTTAACAATAACGAAGAAGAGACCATTACAATCCTGTGTAATGAGGATGACTACTGATGTGTAGATGACGGGGATAGCGAGTTAATACCACGGATTCCATAAATTGAAATACTTTGTCAGTGTTTCAATAGTAAGTTCAAATTTGTTACTTTTTTCAAACATTTTAATGTGTTGGCGTTTTTGGGACTAACCTAGTGTTTAGCCCGCGGGCTTCGAAAGTTTCGCCGATGCAAAGGAAGCCTTGTGATGTAAAAACACAGGAATCGAATCGAGGACTGGTACGTACGTTTTCACTGTAAGCACAGCGACATGGACGTTGTTCAGCGATCCATAAGCCGCATGCCACACCCACCAACTCACTCCAAATTCCGCTTTCCAACCCTTCGCCATCCGCCATCTAATCTGTATCCTTTACCCGCATTCCAGTACCTTAATGAGCGGCCAGCGCTGTCCGAACGACAATCAAATCAAGGAGCAAATCGTGGTGGTCACAGGCGGTAATAGCGGCATTGGCTTTGAAATAGCCCAGGCCTTGGCGGGTCGGGGTGGCCGGATAATCCTGGCCTGCCGGAATCTCCAGGCCGGCGAAAGGGCAGCTTCTATTATCAAACGTGAGCTGGGATGCCGCACCCCCTTAAGTGCCACTGATGATGATGACAATCCGGCGGATAGGTACTTTGTGGAAGCCCGCTATCTGGATCTCTGTTCGCTGCGCAGTGTTCATCACTTTGCCGGCCAGCTGATGGCGGAATTCGAGCGGATCGATGTTCTGGTGAACAATGCCGGTGTGGTCTTTGCCAACACTCAGGTGCCCACGGAGGATGGTTTCGAGCGGCATAGTCAGGTGAACTACTTGGCCCCCTTCCTGCTGACCCATCTGCTATTGCCACATCTGCAACGCTCGGAGCAGGGACGCATCATTTTCGTTTCGGCCCACGCCCATCAGGGGGCCAAAATCGATTTCGACGATCCACTGAATGTGGGCACCTGGTCGGTCAAGTTCCACGCCCGCGAAGCCTTCGCTCACTCAAAGCTCTGCGTTGTTCTGGCCACCCGTTGGATGGCCAGGGAACTGAAAGGTAAGCGACCGAGGGGTATGGGAATTTTCCCACGAGAACTGGAAACTGCACTCGGAGGAAATGCTTTTTTTTTTTGAGGCTATCTTAATTGCTGTTAGTGGCCATTAGGCCAGGAAGAATGTAAGATTCTATATAAATGTTCGGATTTATATATGGTCTTCTTAATTATTTAATTTTTTTTTTATTTTTAAATTACAAATTAAACTGCTTTTATTTTGTCTACAAAATAAGGAATTTGAAGCTTTTCACTAGAAAACCTATACAAATGTTTTCCCAGTGTAGGCCGAAAAATTTTGCATAGTTTGCACTCTGAATTATTGATGCATACACTGCGCAATCTTGATTTCCAAGAAACAAATAATGAAAATCCGCTAATTTTCCCACAGGTACCTCGGTCACGGTTAACTGCTGTACTCCGGGACTCGTCCGTGGGACTCGCCATTTTCGCAAGTAAGTCAGTTCAGACCTGGTCGAGGAAATCGCAACCCGACAAACCCAGAAACCAAACTAACCAAGGAAAGCCCGCAACCGAAATTGAAATTCAAACGAAACGGGAGCAAAGTGCAAAGTGCAAAATGCAACTGAAACTTTAACTAAATTTTAAGCTCATTTCGTAGCCGCGCGAAAGACAACTTTTGCACTTTCATTAAGCAATGTTAGTATGTCTCCTTTTCTCTGTCTCTGCCTCGGTCACCCATACTCTTTCTCTCTCTCTGTGTATATATATGTATATATATCTGACTTTCTATCTATATCTCTGGAGGTTGAGGGGGCGTCTAGTTTTGATGCAATCAAAAAGTTGCCAAGTCATTTGGGCGGGGCTTGAAATGAAGAGCCCCTTTTTTGGCAGCAGCATCAAGGTAACATTTCATTCGAAGGCCAAATTCATTTCGAAATTCCAAATGAGTTGGTCAAATACCGAAAATCTGGCCTAAATGCAAGCTGTGAAAATAGGTAATAGATTGCATAGGAGAAGTGTTGACTAGAAAATAGTTAAAATTGGAGGAAAATATTGTTATTCGCAAAGATCCTAGAATTAAAATACTAAATATCGAAAGACCTTATAATGTAATCACCAATTTTTACATCTAATTATATGGTAAACATACGCAAAGGATGGCTATTTAACTGCTGTTTAACCCCAATTCCAGCAGCTCATTACGCCTCATGGTCATTTCTGGTTGCCATCGATTTTCGTGCAACACGATTTACCATTAGTTGCCAAACACGTAGGCCAAATATGTTCAAGCGTAACAATTTGCCAAAATGCTGATCTACATTTTGTTTCTAAAATCCGTTTTTAAGGCATGCAAATTAGTTAGTGACTCTGTGAGAAAAAAGCCCGAAACCAAAGAAGGGCATTTGCACAATACACAGAAAAGGACGTGCAAACACGACAAACAGTTGCAAATTGCGGAAGGCCAAAATGTTAGCAACAAGAGCCATCAACTCCCACAACTGTGGGGGCACTGAGAAAAATTGCTCAAAACTTAATTTAATATGTGGTTGGTTTCGTTGGTTACAGAACTCGTCTTTACAAGACCGATCTCTCTATGTCATGTTTTTGAGATAGGTTTCTGTTTGCTTTATACGTTTTCTGATCAGAAATTTAACTCAATATTAAATCTTAACTAAAAAGTGAACTTAAAAATTGGTCTTAGATCTATAACCTATAACCACATGCAATCCATTCCTGATGATATTTTTCACCCTGCATAAAGCAACAAACATTATAAGAGCCAGAGCCAACGAAACGACAACAGCTGCAATGAACTTTCACCCTGCCACGCCCACACCTCATCATCAAATGCAGATGAGCTGCCATCGAGTGGCAGTTGCCAAAATGAGATGGGAGAGAAATGAGAGGGGATAATGATGGGCAGAAGTGAAATGCGGTAATTAAAAGCGGCCAAGTCGGAGACGCGGGTCGGCCGCAATTGAAACGGCGGCGGGTCAAGCTTGGTGCCTTACTTTTGGCCAAGCTCCGTTTGGGTCAACTTTTGCCTGCTGGCCCCGCCACGTTGTCCTTTTGAGTTATGACCCAGACACACACCCCGGTGACAGTTGCCTCTGCCACTGTTGCCTTTGTTGTTGATGCTGCTGATGCTGCCAGTTGTGTTGGCAGCTTGACTTTTTTATAACGAAGATTTATACAGTTTTTTGGAGAGTCTCCGAAAGAAAAAACAGCTTATTTCGTCCCTATTATTTTTATTTTAAAGTAGAAAAGTGAATTCTAGATTATTTAATTTAAAATTCTTTTTAAATCCTAAGCAATTAAGGTTTTATTTTTAATTTTTCATAAGTCCTTGAATTTTTTTCTACACATTTTCTTAAATTAATGCAGTCAATAGAAAGAGAAAATTCTAAGCTATCAATTTAAAAATATTTTCCACGTTTTTTAATACCTTAGACTTAGCCAATGTCATCTCTGTTGGCCAGCATCAAGTTGGTGGCACACTGTGAACTTACTGCCGGCCATGAACATGAACATGTCCGGGGCCCAGTCTACCCTAATGATGGGACCAGAATTAATGCGAAATTTATTGATGCCCTCAAAGCTGGCACAAAAGTTTTCCCTTGTTTTTCATCTGCTTCCTTTTTTCTGGCAGTTATAAATTAGAATTTGCCGACAATGTGCTGGTACCGAGGGCTTCACGGCCCTGAATGCCAAATCATTTCTCAGGAAATACATCCATTCAGAGTGTCCACTGTGGATGAGTTTTTTCCTTTTTTGGGATGAAGCATTCACAGATTTATTTATTCATGCGCGTAAACCTATTCCCATGATTTTGTCGCCATGAAAATCTAGATTAATTTCTTTTAAAGTTATATTAAAAGATGAAAAGGTTTTGCAAAATGTAGTTTTAATGGGAACTGCAAGTTTAAATAAGCAAATAGGCTTAACGTAATAGTTTTTAAACTCTTATCAGTAAGTAACTGAATAAGAAATGTGAATAATTAAGTGAAGCTTTGGTTGCAAAGAAGTTTCTGTGGTACTTTAGTTAACGAAGTACACTTCAAGTTGTTACATTGCTTAGATTTGCGATGATTTAGACATTTTAGATAAGACCAACAGATTAAACATCATCCAAGAGCCATTGAATTCATAAGTTATTATGGGCCTGTTCATAAAGCCCTGTTCACACACGCTGCATACACATGTAAATGGGGGATTTTGGGGTGGCCTCTCCAGTGGAAGGCCCAAAAGCCGAGGACAATAGCTGGCCAGGACACAGTCATTCCAAGGGGGACAAAGGAGCAGGTGCTCAAGTGTATAGCACACAGATACAAACGCACACACAGAGCTGCAAAATTGTTAACACGACCAGCACGTACAACAAATTACACAATTCAATGGCAATAAATGATGTAATAGAGGAGGCTAAGATTTAGATATACATAGTTCTCCTACCATCTCTAAGCAGAAAGAAGCAAAAGTTGAGCTGTCACAAGCCAGGAAAGCATAATCCATCATAGACACAAATTGTACTGTCTGCATATGTACAAGTTTAACTAACCCGGCTAGGGCTCCATTTCCGTTTCTATTTCCACTTCCCTGCCGAACCAGAAACATTGTTAACATGCGTCATTACAATTTGCAAAATGCCATAACAATACGCCAGCAAAAAGTGCCCGGAAAATGGTTGGAAAAACTGAAAGAAGAAAATCAAATGCCTTGGCGAGCGTACAAATCATTTGGACATAAAACGCAGCACCTTGACAGGTGAAGGTGGCATGGCGGTGTGGACAAGGGCATGGGCATGGGCATGGACATGGGGATGGGGATGGAAATAGAAATGGAGATGTGGAGCGGCAATAGGTTCTGCACGTGACCTAGGCGCAGCGCCAAGAACAACGGAAAATCCAAGCCAACGAGCCGCAAATTACATCTCAGAGATGAGCACAGTTCGTTATGCTTAGGAAGCACTTAATAATATAATAGAATAATGCATATTCTAATATCTAATTCATTGTTAGGGATTACTTAGTAAGCCCAAAGTATCCCCGACAAATGGTAAAACTGTAATTATTTTCGGAAAAATAGGTATATAAATGTTTAAGATTTTACTTGAAAAGAAAGAAAAACTTAACATTTGATCAATTTTAATCGATAAATCACATATTAAGTCTATTCAATTTTACCACTTTAAATAACAACAATAGTTACAATAGTTAAAAGCATTTTACAGGCTTAATTTAACTTTAAAGTCATAAAAGGTACATGAAGATTTTAAATAACTTTAATACTGACAGCAATTAAAAATGCAATAAATAACAATCAAATAATAAAAGACTGTAAAATAATAAACTTTTATTTGAACATGCTGATGTCAGGTATCCAAGAATCTCGGTTAAACGATTTAAATATTTTTATACACATTTTCATGAACTGTGATAGCGTGCCCTTTTCAATTTTGTTTTATTGTAACAGGTAACAAAGAAAAGAGAAAGCCAGAACAAATTAAACGAAATAAAGCACATGCTCACCTCTAGTGGCCAAAAGCCAGCTCCCACTCGGACCAAAAACTTGGCCAACTGCTGCGGGCAGCGGCAATAAAACAGCAAATGAACAGCGGAAGCGACATCAAGTGGCTGTACATGTAGGTGAATGTGAATGTGAATGCGAGTTGGGTTCCTGCGCCGGCCTGGATATATGGGAACTGCTTGATGCACATGTGAGGGGCACTCGGAATTATGCTTAGAGACTTTTAGAAATAATCTCAAATTATGAAAATTGATTTACCATATTTTTTACTCTGGAAAGTTTAACAAGAAGCTACATATTGTTTAGAAAAAGGTATTAATGGTATATATTCCCAAACATGTAGAATTTTTTGCATTACATTAGATTTTACCTTAAAGTTTTCCAATATTACTAAGTAAGGATTATTGGTTCCGAATAATTCTAATTTTTACTAGTTCCTTTAACATCCTCCATTTTTTCCTAGTGCACATAGCTTACAGACATTGGCTTCCTGTCCATCGGATGTCTCCCCCTGTTGTGCTTTTTGCTGCTGCATTCTGTTACATGTTTTGCCTTTGCAAGTAGATTTTCTTTTTACAGACTTTGTAGCGCCAAATTGAACTTTTGTTGTACTTTACACCCGACTCCCAACTCCCAACTGCTACGCCCGCTCGTCAACTCCCTCGCTTCCTTTCTAGGATACTATGTGTATATATATATATATATGTACGCCCATACACTATTCATATCGGAGATAACTCTCTGACTTTCGTTGGAAACTGCAAAAGTGCTGAAGCAGCTGTCATTCTCACCCATGCACTGCAATTCCTATACAGGGCACGCCCACTTTCGCCCACTTCCGGACACTCGTCGGGCATTTTTTTGCAGCTGCCATTGATTGAAAAACTGATACCTACTGGGCTCTCGAGATTGTGGCTCTAACGCTTATCGTCAGGCTTCTTTTATAGGACATCATCTTGGCAGG